AAACTTAATCAGATTTCTTTTCATACATTCCATAACAGTATCTGCTCATTGATTTGAAAGTTCACCAATGGGTTACATTTGAGATAGTTTGCTGTGCAGCCATTTTTGTATAGTTCTCCAAATGACAGCACAGATATTTTCTGAAAATATCCCATTCTTTTTAAAAGAAAACAGTAACATTAAACGGGTTCTCATATATGCATTACAAAAACAATCCGCTATTATGGCAATACTTTTACAATATTTTCATTGACTATTCAATATTTTGTACATTTTCAGTTTTTCTACCTTTCCTATGTCACTCAGTGTTTTATACGCATTTAACATTTAAGGTTTAGACATATTATTCCCAGTGAGTGTTATGTATATAATGCATAAGTAAGGAACTAATTACAAAAAAAATCTAACGATTTCACTTTTTATATTGTCTAGCTCCCATTCATAGTTGGTTGTGAACCTGCCTCTGTCCATATAGCTGATTGCATACGTGAGATATATGATCCGATACCTAAGTGTACATAGCCAAAATCTTAAAATTTGAATCAGAGTTGAAAACCAGTGCTAGGTCCAAGAACATAACATCAGCATTAAACATGAGAACTAAGGAAGTAAGGAATTTAAATGCAACAAGATTCTCCTGGTTGGCTATGTACAAAGCATAACTAGAACAATAAACGGTATGCACAAACAAGGAAGACATAATGTCAGATTTGTGGCTTCTTCATAGATGCAATTACATGCTACGGTTGTAGAATAGTAGGGTATACTAGATTACAAATGTTCAGAGTAAATGTGTTAGAGGGTTAAGATACAGATGTGTGTCTAAGTTGAATCAGCACATTTATTTAGCACTAAAATGCAGTTTACAGCAGTGAACATAAAACAATGTCAAACCTTACTAAGGGGGTCTGAAGGAAATGAAGCATACTCTGGCTTTGTTTATAGAGTACCGTGTAGCTGTAGGCATACCAATCTGTGAAATAACAAATAACTAAAGCTATGGCTAAAATAGAAAATAATAAAGGTAACACAAAGAAATACGGAAACACGGGAAAGAAATGAAATAAAAATATCTTATATCATATTTTGTTTCTTTCCCATGTTTCTGTGTTTGTTTATGTTACCTTGCCATTACTGTAATGTTTTCTAAAAATATATTAATAAAAACTAAATAAAATGTTAAAATTATAAGTCTGAAACAGAGAGATTCAGCATTCTTATAAAGATATTTGGTTAATATGTATGTATGTATGTTCTTTGCCATTTTATTTTATGTATAATATTTTCTAGAGTGACAACACTGAGAATAGGCAATGAGTACAAAATGTATGCCACAATTATTATTAAGACCATCAAACAGATCAAAATTTTTGATATGATGATCATGTAATTTATCATGGCTCTAATCATTTTACATTACATTTTCTGACCTTTCGTGACAAGAGTCCTGCTCAATTATTTTTATTGCACTTGTCTCTTTTATCCATTTATTAACTAGTGTGGCATTATATGGAATCAAAAAAGGTTTTCTATGTTAATCCTTGGACATTTCGACTCAAGAGACTTGTAATAACATAACTGAGTCAAATCTGTGATTCAGTTGGTTAACCACACTGGGTCAAAGTAGATTACAGTATTCTAACTACAAGAATAGCACAATCTGGAAAAAAAAAAAACAGGATTCCTAGCGCAATACATGATTTGCTATGATTGATCTGTTGACAGGTATGTTACATATTTTTTACCAAAGACTGCACTTTGACTTGCCATTTGCAAGACATAGACAAAACAATTCAAGGAACACTCCAAGCACCATATCTACTACAGCGTGGTGAGGTAATTATGGTGCCAGGAGTGCCCTGGCATGCCTCAGTGTAAGTAGCCAAATCGGTTTAGACTGCTTTGACTGCATACCTGTGGACAGCTAGGTGCAACCTGTTGCCTCCATTGCTGTCTTTAGAGAGCCAGGAGCTCCTGCTTAGGATCTTCCGTTGGTCTCCTGAGCTAAGCAGTGCAGGGCTAGCTCATTGACTAAAATCATCTATTGATTGCACAGAGCCAAAAAGCTAAGCCCTCTACTGCCGTGCTTATATCGAAAAAAGTTAAGGGTCTATAGCTTCCTGAAAGTTGTTTGGGAGGTGCAGGACACTAAACATCTCTGGTGCATTCATTTTTTTATTTGACACATATGGGACATCATTTTGTACATTTATTTATTCTTTGTTTGATCTATTGATTAGAAGTCTGTATGTACCATACTGTATAAACATGATGTTTATATTTATATATGCGATAAACTTGATCTGTTGTCAATTACCGTATTTTTCGCTCCATAAGACGCACCTCACCATAAGACGCACCTAGTTTTTAGAGGAGGAAACCCAGAAAAAAAAATATTCTGAACAAACTGTTCCATAGTGTTTCTTACCATGGGACAGGTTGTTCAGAATATTTTTTTTTCTCCCCTGTCCCATAATGATCTTTAACCCCCCTTTCCTCTGTCCCATAGTGATTGTTAACCCCTCCTACCCTGTCCCATAGTGATTGTTAACCCCTCCTACCCTGTCCCATAGTGATTGTTAACCCCTCCTACCCTGTCCCATAGTGTTCTTTAACTCCTCCTCCCCTTGTCCATTAGTGTTCTGATCCCATAGTGTCCCCCCTCCCATTGTCCCATAGTGCACTTTCCCTCCCATAGTGTCCCCCCCTGCCCTTGTCCCATAGTGTCTCCCCCTCCCCTTGTCCCATAGTGTCTCCTCCCCTCCCCTTGTCCCATAGTGTCTCCTCCCCTCCCCTCCCCTTGTCCCATAGTGTCTCCTCCCCTCCCCTTGTCCCATAGTGTCTCCTCCCCTCCCCTTGTCCCATAGTGTCTCCTCCCCTCCCCTTGTCCCATAGTGTCTCCTCCCCTCCCCTTGTCCCATAGTGTCTCCTCCCCTCCCCTTCTCCCATAGTGTCTCCTCCCCTCCCCTTCTCCCATAGTGTCTCCCCTCCCTTTCTCCCATAGTGTCTCCGGAAACCGGAACCTGAAATAGAAGTTCCTGGACCGCGGAGCGCGCTGTGAAGCCGGCCCACGCTCCAAGACAGGTAAGTAATTCTTCACATTCGCTCCATAGGACGCACAGACATTTCCCCTCACTTTTGAGGGGAAAAAAAGTGCGTCTTATGGAGCGAAAAATACGGTATATATTGATACATTGTATATTGCCACTCTATAAATAAAATTGTAATGCATATGTACATACCACTGAATCGCTGTTCTTAATTTTGTTAAAACAACTTTTCAGGTTAATAGAAGTAATAGTAAACAGAAAATAGTTAAACAATTTTCACATTTATCTGTCTGTCAATCTCTGTATTTTTGCCCATCTCAGTTTTTACATCAACCTGTACGTCTCTTATCTCCAGCAGACAGTTTTTTCTTGAGGGAGGAATTCTTCCTATTCCTCTATGTATTCTTTTAGATTGTATCTAATTTCCCAGACTGCGTGTTGTGACAAAATCAACATTTACAATATAGTCGTTGATGTCTGTTTTTTCTTTTCCTTGTAGACACAAAACATCATGTATGACATGATCTCAGATTTAAATGAAAGAAGCGAAGACTTTGAGAAGAGGATTGTTGTCTTAGAAACAAAGCTAGAGACATTAATTGGTAGCATTCAAGCTCTCCCTGGACTGATTAGTCAGACAATTAGCCAGCAACAAAGAGACTTGGTTGAAGTTCATCTACAAAATTATGACAAGCATGTTGCATACAGTGCTGAGCGATCACGATCTGTTTCAAGAAGGAGAAGGTCCTCATCCACTGCACCTCCAACGTCATCAGAAAGTAGCTAGAAGTCAATAAGTTAACCAAAAAAAGACTTTTTTTGCCATCATATGGTCAATATTTTAGCTTTTATTGTAAAGCCCTATGGTACTACTAAATCAGTGTTGTCTGGATTCTGATGTCAGAATCTTAGAAACCTGAACTCAAAGTTTTAGGCCAAATAGAGTGAGAACTCTTCTATTTCTTTCAGATGCACAGTGAATGCACCTATCATCGCTATATAGATTGTTTCTCCAGAAATTTCACTAACTTTTTATTCATGCACTTCAAACAAACTTTACTACTATATAGTATAATAAAAATATTAATTTCTGAACAGGTGTGTGGTCCACTTTAATTCATAGAATAAATAATTCTTATATTTAGATAACTAATAAGTAACTAACCCTATTTTTACTGAAAGGTGCCCTGAAAATGTTGCAGGTTTTATTATAATACTCCATAATCTCCCAAATACACAATAATCTCCCATCATTTCCTCTAGAGTTCAGACCCTGGTGGTGGATAACTCCACGACTATATTCTGGTGGAGAGAAACAGAATTTAATTCAGATGGTTGGCTTTTTAAGAAGTCAACTGATGTATCCCTCGGCTGAGATGGACTGTTTAGAAGCTTTTTTTTACACTTTTTAAAGGGAAGTGAGAAGCTTGGCGGTTTGTTCATGCTTGTGAAATCGAATCATGGTGAGTTGTCAAGTAACAAATCCTCTGACTAAATTTAGCAAGTTGGTTTTTGGCTTACTGTTTAGTTATATAAATTGCTTTAAAATAGAATGCATTGATCCACATTGTTTTTGCTTACTATTACTCCTTCATATATCTGTGATGTAAGAGCTGAATAAGAGCACTTCTAGGAAAGAGAAAAGTTGATTTCAATATTTTTTATGCAAACCTTGCATAAAGGGAACACTCCAAACACCATAACAACTTAATCATAATTAAGTTATAATGGTGCAAGTAAATACCATGCACCATCTTACCTGAAGAAGTTAAATCTTAACCCCAAAGTCTGTAAGACAGCGACGGATTGCTTCCTCTAAAGGACAAGGCTCACTGATGAAAGCAACATTAATTAGCTGCACTGATTGGCTAAAAGCACCAGCCAATGCTCTCAGCCCATCACAATGCTCCCAGTTCAGAAGCCTAAGTAAAAAGTGTATCTTGAGATACACATTCACCTTGTTTATGATGCTTGTTTTGTGTTCTATGGAGATGTTTTGTGTTTTTGCATTCAAAAGGACTACTGTTGAAAAACCCTACTTTAGTTGTCCAGGCCAATCATGGTAGCATATTCAGAAATGGTTAATGGTTAATGGTTAAAAGGAAAAAGAAAGTCTCTTAAAGAAGACCTACTCATCATGTAAACGTCAGACTTTTTTTTTTATCTTCCACAGCAGTTGGATGGAGGCAACTTTAGCAGTTTTTGTGTACAGGGCCACTTTTATTAAAAGTTTTTTAAATTTGTCTCCCCCTGTGTTGCTGCATATTGTGCCTTTTATGTAAGTGCCTATAAAAAATTTTCACTGCTCAGGAGAGCTCTTGTCCCTGCGTTCTTTTGCTCCCTGGCCATGTTTTGTGTTCATATTTATAATGTGCAACTCCTCAGAGGTATTGGTAAGCAGCCTGTTTATTTAATGTTTCTTATATTTTGTTCTCCCAGTATGTTTGGTCCTTTTTTTCTTTTTACTTTTATAAATGACTCAGGCAGGGAAAGTTCATCTCTTTCCCTAAAAACCCAGTATAAAGTTCCTCTTTTAGTTTCTGTACCTGTATACAGCCCCATTTATGGACCCGGGGTTCTGTCCTACTTATTTACCCTACCCTGAAGATTAGAATTCATTGATGTCAGTTGATATTCATGAATTTTAGAGTATTTCAATTCACATTTCAATATTTTTTCTTGGTTCATATAGCATTTAGGGAAGATACAAACTCCACACCACATATATGAAGTAGCAACAATGTCCAGGTTGTGATTTTTTTTTTTTTTAATTTAAGCCAGGTTGGTGAGATTGGTGCACCTAGCAATGTACCCTTGGGAAATGACAAATACTAGTTCCACAGGGATGGGCATCAGTATGGTAAGGCACTTACTGAGACTATTTAGAGTTATGGTAATCAGATATGTACGGGGTCAGGGTATTTGAACTCCTCAATCAAAAATATATCCACATCATAGGGGACTATACTCTGAGTTTTTATCATTAACCTGAAAATTAAGTGAAGGTGTTGGGAGGTTATTCGTGACTCCCTAGTTTAACCCCTTAAGGACACGTGACATGTGTGACATGTCATGATTCCCTTTTATTCCAGAAGTTTGGTCCTTAAGGAGTTAAAGGGATCTTGAAACCTGTGCATTTGCTATTTGCCTTCTCCTGTTTTAAAATATATATCTAAAATATATAATACATACTTATTATGTATTTTAATTCAATACAATTTTTACAATAAATGATTGTTATTAAGAACAACTTATTTATGCTGAATATCGGTTTAAAAATCACACTAGTTAGCTGACCTCTCATAACAAATCACTTTTTTGTAAACTGATAACCAGGAATTCACAAAAAAAACATTATTTAATCATTATTTCTTCTTTCAGTTGCTTTTCTATGTAATCGAAGAGCAGATGTGATATGGTTTAGTCTGTCTATAAACTTTAAAATGTGATCTCCTTTTACTGCCTTTTTTAAATTTCGGTCATATACCTTGACTTTTGCCTTTAATGCCGTGATAAGACTTACTCTGCCTGTGCATCAATTATTTATGCATTATCACAATACATTTTAGTACTTAGAGAACCTATTAATGGTAATCCATGAAAGTAAAAGGGCCTCAGCAGTGATCATTTAAAATAATGCATAACAGATGTCGATGCCCTTTCATTCTGCATGGACTATCTTTCCAAGATTCTCATTTTGTACTTTCGCATATTCTTCACCTGCCAGGAGACAAAGATGGAGTTGAACCATTAGACAGTGGCACCAATTAGAGCTCTAAGGAAGTATATCTTTTTTTCTTATTTAACGTCGGTGGTATCATTTTATAGGGTATGTCACCTTAAGGAAGTTTTTCGAAAATGCGAAGACCTTGCAAGTCACAGTGGTGCTTCAAGTGCTACATAAAAAGTGCTATTAAAAACACAGCTTCTTATGATTATTCTGTAGCTAAAAGTACTTGTGGTTCTTTTGTCATAAATCCACGATCGACTCTCATGATGAATTTAATTAATTTTTTGTGTTTATTCCAATATGGGCTGGGCATTAATATTTCCATAACACTACATAAGGAGTTAAAAACATTCACTAAAATCGGCTTAGTGGAATCAAGCAATACATTTTGCCTTCCTTCACTATCAGATCAACGTAATCCTCACATTTGTTCCGATTTCGCTGTTGCAATGCATCATAACTAATCTTTTTTTCTTCCCTGGCATTATGTTGCTTGATCTTCGCTGAAGCAATGTAATCTCCCAGACTCTTCTCTAATAAAAAATGTTGGCTGAAATGAACTGAAGAAAGCTAAAGTCTGCCAGTTTTATGTAAAGTATATTTTCCAGTCTTTCCAACTCATCAGGTTGTTGCTGTACATAGGCAACCCGTGTCCTTTTTATTTTCGGGTAATAGGAATATATGTCCTGCATACATTTCAAATGAAAATATTGAGAAAAAAAACCCAGCAAGGATTGACTACTGTAGAGGAAATGATTCAGAGCTAAGCCTTAATGTATAGTGAAGTACTTGGCAACAACCTTTTGTATCATATGATTGGTTCATAAATATTGCATATTGTTTCACCTTAAAGGAACACTTACAGCTGACATCAGCCTCAATGATAACTTCCTCTCAATAAAGTTGTTATGGAGTCTGGAGTCACTTGGCTCCATCTTTCCTTTACGGATTCAACCACTTTCAAACAGTTCAACCCTAAAGGTAAGCCACGCTGTGCGGTTAAAGTAGAGAGAGGGTTGTAATCAGTCTCTTAGTTCCTACCATAGAAAATAAGTGGCATGTTAGCTGCTACTTTTACCAGTTAGTGCTACTTAAAAGCTGGTCATTAGCAACTCCCATTACTCTCTATGTGAAGAACTTAGTGGTTGATTCAAACCCTCTATCTACATTTCCCAGCTAATGCTACTTAAAAAGTTAATCTCTAACAACTCCCATTTTTCTCTACAGGAAGTCATTTAATGATTGATTCGAACTCTTCAGCTATTTTTACCAGCTGTTACCGCCCTGTGAATATTTTTAATTTTTTGCTCAGTTATTCTTCTCATATGGCATGTAATGAAACTTTCCATGTGTGAAAAAGTTTGCAAATGGATGGAAGGCTTAATTTGTAATCTAGGCCATCTTGGTGACAAATTAAATAGGCAGTGAAACTATTTCACACACTGAGATTTTATGTCGCTTATCAGAGGTTGTTTAAATATAGTCCTTATACTTCAAACTATAATGTTTCCAGTGAAATAAATGTCAGTAGATTAATGTCTTAATTATCTAGAGGACAACCCACCTCTACATAGGGGACCATTTTGGATCACGAAGCATTATGTTAGTGTTGCACTGGGATCAGAACAGATATAACCATACATTTCTGAGAGTACCCTCTTGCAATCATTATCTGTTACTAATATGAAATAATAATAATAATAATAAATAAAAGCAAATAGCAAAGAAACAATGCAACTTTTTTAAGAGACTATTTATTGTAAGGAATAGAAATGGCAACATTGAGTATTCTATCCTTTTCCTTTGTTTGTTTCTGCTGTTGTTACAGGACAGTATATCTCTTGTAAACTGTCTCCAAAGGTTTATTTTCCTATCTACTTTCACAGGCATACTATATATAACTTTATTACCCAGAATGGTTTGTGTTTTAAAATAAAGATAAAACAATTCGAAAGAAATATTACAAAACAGGAGTCTGAGATACCAGAGAAAAAACATGATAGAGTGAATCTCATAAAACACTGTAGAATCAGAAATAATTTATTTAGCTAATTTCTTGCAGTACACAAAGGATGTACTTTTCATATAATTCTAGGATTTTAAGGCTAATATCGTATGCTCTGTTAATATTTTATATACTGTATTTTACTTTCTTCTTCTTTTGTCTTGTGGTCAGCTCAGAGAATGAAGTTTGTAATGGACAAATTACAGCATTAATTTTCCTCATAGGAAGGTAGGAATCATCCATTCAATTTTCTGCAGCATTTTACAGCCTGTTTGAGTATAGAATTCTTCCTTCATATTGTCAAGGTCAGTTGAGGTTAATTCATGAATATCCTCCAAGAGTTCTTGTATATCCTTCTGGTGGAAGGAATATTGTGTTCCACCATAGCAACTACAGTAACAGATGTATTTGAAGTTTTACCAAACTCCAATACATCCTCAATGCTACCTTCTGAGGACAAGGAACATAAGGCTTTCATTGCCAGCATATTGGTTAAAAAACTAATATATTCCACCAAGGATATTTAATGAATTCAATAAATGATAGAGAGATGTTGAGACACAAACAAGACTTTTAGATTCTCGTATCTTTATTTGCAAATGTGACCATGTACACTAGTTTTATTTTTAGTCTTATTTAGTTGTATATTTAGTTGGAGAGTTTGGGTAGACAATAATTTGTAGTTATTGAGTCCTAGGGTCAAGGGCAGTCAGCAGGTTAAATTGAATTTAATGTGACTATTCAGTTAATGAGCTGGAAAGATGATGGGAATATCTTCCAATCAATCTTTAAATTGTGCTCTTGGTCATTGACTATTTGACTCACCTTGGTTGAGTTATTTCTTAAAGAGTCACTGGCTGCTGGTTAGCTAACACAGTTCAAGCTGATTGAACAAAAATATCAATAAGACGTAATGAGGACCAGAGGAAAATCAATGGCCATTTTAACACAAGATTTTAACTTCTCGTATACTGCATTAGATGCTTAAATCTCAAACATTAGTGTATCATCTCATGAATGTTAACGATGAATCCAGATCAAATCAATTTGACAGGAGTCTGGCTTTGCTTTGTACTGTCAAAATTAAGATGTTGAAAAAGACAAAAGAGTCAGTATATAGAACAACTATTATCACTTAGACATCATAGAGACTCACTGAAATAAGAATGTTCATCTGTTTATATATTTCACAATTTTTATATAGTGCTCTTACCGACTTCCAACAAAGTACATGTGACAAACAATTTCTCACGTCATAGGATAGATTTGCTCAAAAATTTAATACCTGAGCTAAAAGACAGTTTGGCTCCTGCTTTCCCCCAACATCATTTTCTGATAAGAATGTTTCTTGTGTATATGTTTTTGATACTTAGGATTAATTATGGACACTGATATTCAGTATTCATATAATTAGTACCTTAAAACTCCCCCCCA